ATTTTGCCTTTAGAATTCGCCTCCAATTACTTGTATCTAACCCAAATTAATTTAAAAACATCAATAAATGCTAAAGAATTCAATCCCAATGCTAAATTGTAGGTTTTCTATCAATTTCCCCAAAAAGTCAAAAATCGACCGTGGCCCGCTTGGTCAAAACCCGAGGCTCGAACCAAAACCCGACTAACCATTCACCCACGAACTCAAATATATAATTTATTTTGAAATCGAACCTCAAATCGAGGTTCAAATCCCCAAATTTGAAAATCCTAAGTCTTACCCAAAATTACCCAATTTTCCATGAAAAACCCTTGATTTTGAGTTGAAATCATGTAAAAAGATGATAGGATTGAAGAAAATAAGTAAGAAGTGACTTACTAATGATTTGGAGAAGAACTTGTCTTTGAAAAATCGCCCAAGAGAGTTTAGGTTTTGAGAAAGTTTGAAAAATGAAGAAATTTCGTCTAAGTTATAAGTTGCACGGGTGCAGATATTGCATTTGCGATGTCCGGTTCGCAAATGCGAACTCGCAATTGCGGCCCAGGCTTCGCAAATGCGAAGGTAGGCCTGCCCTGCTTTCTTCGCAAATGCGAACTACCGTTCACAATTGCCGTACCTGCTGAAGTCGCATTTGCGACATTGAGCTTCGCAAATGCGAAGGTCTCCCTACCCATCCCATCTTCGCAAATGCGATATTTCTTCGCAAATGCGAGCTCGCATTTGTGAGCCAGGCTTCGCAATTGCGAAGCCTACAGACCTGCAACACACCAGCAGTTTTTCTAAGTCCAATTTCACTCTGTGGCCTAACCAAAACTCACTCGAGCCCTCGGGGCTCCAAACCAAACATGCACACTAACCTAAAAACATCATACAGACTTGCTCGCATATCGCCAAAATAACACCTCGAACTACGAGTTTAGCATCAAAATCAAAGAAAAATCTCAAGAATTCTTAAGTTTCAAATTTCACGGTCGAGGGTCCGATTCACGTCATATGAAGTCTGTTTCTTACCATATTTTACAGGCACAACTTAAATACCATATAAGACTTATACTTGGCTCCGGAACCAAAATACGGGCCCGATACCATCAAATCCAAACACATTTAAATTTTCAAAAACTCTTAAAATTTCAATTGAACAATTTTCTTCAAAAATTCATTTCTCGGGATTGAATTCCGGGCATATGCCAAAGTCCCATGTTTTTCTATAGACCCTCCGGGATCGTCATAAAGGCAAATTAGCATTTTTATCAAACTTTCACATAAAAGCGTTCCGTATATACGCCCGGACCGCGCACGTAAATCGAGGCGAGATAAAGGAGGTTTTTTTAAGACCTCGAAACACAGAATTGACTTGTAAATCAAGTGATGACCTTTTGGGTCATCACACTGTGTGAGCCACATACAGTACCGAGTGGTTGAATATTTGAGAGTGTGTGCAATTGAGGCTGACAGCATGGTGCATCATTTACACCGTGTGCATTGGCATGTAGAAATAGCAAAGTTATATTCTTCACTTTGTTCAGTTCTGGTTATTTTACTATTTGAGCTATCTATTTAATTTGAGAGCATGCCTACGTTCTGCACTGTTATTTCCATTGTTAGATGTACTGAGTTCGTCACTACCTTTCAATCCAAAGGTTGGACTTGTTACTTACTGAGTTGGATGTACTCACATTACTCCATGTAACTCGTGTGCAGATCCAAGCGCTTCTGGTCACGGCGGTTACTGCTGATTGAGGCATCAGAGTTCGGAGACTATCAAGGTAGCTGGATGGCGTTCGCAGGCCTTGACTCTCCTTCCTTATTCTATCTGTATTTTTAGTTTTATTCTCTAGACATTGTAGTGGACTGTATTCTGGTTTAGACGCTCATGTACTCTGTGACACCCCGATTTTGGGATGGAGTGTATCGTATTTTGGATTAATTCTGTTTTCAAAATGCTTTTCTTTAATATTAATTGTCGCTGTTATTTTTAAAGGTGTTTTACTGTGTTGGAAATGTTGAGTTGTGGCTTGCCTAGTTCCACAATAGGCGCCATCACAACGGTTGATTTTGGGCCGTAACATAAATAATATAGTATAGATATGGGCCTCTTAATCATTTTAACTAAAATATAACAATAACATACTCAATATATTCTCACAAATGGGATTTAGGAAGAATAGCATGTACACATATTTTACCCTTACCTTGTAAAGGTAGAGAGACTGTTTTAGGTAGACCCTCGGCTCAAGAAACGTATAATCACAAAAAAGAACTACAGAATGAGAAACAGTAACAACGACCAAAAAAATTAATGGAACCGAAGCAAATGAAACAACAGGTAATAAAAGATATCTAAAGACTGGGAAATACGAGAACAACACTAGTACTACGGGTAAGAAAGGGAAATACAGGTTTGAAAAAGAAAAAACGCTTGGCTACACGCTAACCTACTATGCTAATCATCGACATTCACACCTTCCTATCAAGGGTCGGATCTGAAGATGTGACATGTCTTGCCTGATCATCTCTCACCACTACTTCTTCGGCCTACCTCTACCTCTCCTCGGATCTGCCATAATCAATCTCTCAGTACACCTACTCACTGGGGGCATCTGTGCTTCTCCTCTTTACATGCCCGAACAATCTCAGCTCACTTTTCTCATCTTGTCCACCATACAAGCCAATGATAAATTCATGATTTTGAACATTATGAGTTTGAGTTAAGAATTTTATTATAGTTATTTAATTTATTAAATTCGAAATTTATTATTTACACTTATTTAATAAGTTTTCTGTTATGTGTATAGTGCCGAGCTACTGTTGAGTTCAAATGAACGCATAAGTTTAAAGCACTTCAAAGTGCTTGTTAATGTATCACACATATTTTACTTCAATCTGTAATTTTAATTTCTTGTTTTGGTGTAATGGCTATTTAATTTATTCTGTATTTCTTCGTTTTCACCCCCCAAAAAAAACTATTGATTCAACATATGCATAATAAAATTTTATTTAAATTATAAGTTATAAATAAATGAAATTCAAAAAGGGAATCCAGAATGGGAAAGTATAATTATAATCGCATTTACCGAATACAACTTTAGCGCATTTACAAATTCATTATACATCGCATTTAGGCTGCAACTTATAAATCGCACTTTTTCAAACATTTATGCCTTATTATTAACACAGCTCTCTCCGTGTCTATTAGTCTTTTATGAGTTTGTACGCATCTGTATTTATTAGCTTACCTGATAGTTCATAATCTATTAATTTGCAGAAGGTTATATTAACATATCGAGCTTTGTATGTGATGTCGTGCGATAATTCCATATATTTTGACGTTACTTATCCTACTTGCTTGTTGTTTGGTTGCTATTTGTGTGACAATTGAGCTTAATGTAGTTTATTTTATGTGTAGGAATGCTTGGACATGAAGTGGCGAAAAGTTGTACGAAATGGTATCTCAAAGCTACAAATGGAGCAATAAAAGAAGGCGTGCGAGCAATAAAAAGTTCATGTAAAGTGTAAATCAATAATTTACACAGCTTTATAATATTTGTTAGCAATAAAAATTACACTGCTTTACAGGGAAGGATTCAGAAATAATTGGGGAAATCACAACTCTAGATCTCCTTAGGCTTGTCTCCAATTTCATCCTTGTTAGTTGATAATTTTACTGCTTTATAATATTTGTTAGTTAATTAGTAAAAATAAAATCAAATCTTTATAAATAGGAAATTATTTGAATTTTGTGTTTCTTTACGATATTGAACAACTGTAGCTAAACCTTAGTTCTATGTGGTATTCGACGCCGGACTTTTAGACTGGATTATTTGCAGCCACCGCTTATCCTTTTTAGGACTAGAGTTGGGCGTGATCAGCGTGCATGGCAATGAAAAGTCACGGGCATAGACAGTGCAAGGCTTTGTCCTGGGCATCGTCATTGGCGCCCCTGGCAGTGCCTCACGCAGAAACATTGGCGCCCCTGACAGTTCCTCGCGCAGAAACATCGGTGCCTCTGACAGTGCCTCGCGGAGTAATGTTGGTGCCTCTGAAAATGCCCTGCGCCGACGATGCTTATCCGAGCCACTTCTATTTCCTCATTATGTTTGTACGTGTAGACCTCAACCCTACCTTGAATACCTCCTAAACTTAGCTTTTAGAGGGGGAGAAATTAGTGGAGAGGCAAAAGGCTGCGGAAAACTTGGAAGCAACGAATCACATGAATGCTTTCAATTATTATCACGATTGTTAGTATGGTTATGAGTAGCTAAACTCTCTCATCTGGGGTTTGATGGAACCTTTTGAAGGATGATTTTCTGTTGCATTTAATCTAATTTAACCTTTGGATTTATCTACTTGTTCAACTACGTGCTTATTTCAGTTGTGAATGGCCATCGATTGACTGTGCTTATTTATTATGTGTTGCTTGAGAAAGAATACATATTTAGGTGGTTGTTGAGCAACGTCACTCCTAAGATATGTGAGAGATTAATACGGAGGGTTTAAAAGCGTGATTAGAGATAACGAAGCTTTGACGTGATCACACTGAGCGGTGAAAAAGTGCGAGCTAGCATAATTCGAGAAATATGACTAGTACATTATCGTAATTGCTCGAGATAGAATTACGATAAGTCGAGTGCTCATGATCAATAGAGAATACTTAGGCGAATTATAGAAGATATAGCGGGAAGGATTCCGAAAATTGGAAAAATCATAACTCTAGACCTCCTTAATTTTGTGTCCAATCCTTAGTTTTTTAGTTGATAAATTTCTACTGCTTTTTGATAATCATAAGTTAATTAGTTTAAGTAAAGTTATTCGAGCTTGCCCTCTTGGTGATATTGAACAGTTATAGCGAAACCTTAGTTCTCTATGGGATTCGACTCCGAACTTTTAGATTATATTTGCAGCGACGCTTATTCTTTTTAAGATTAGAGTTGGGCGTAATCAATCAAATACCATAACATAAATCGTAACAGATGAAGTATTTCATTTGTTAGGTAGGAAAATTAATCTTCAACTCGAACATCCAAAGAAAAATATCATGTGTACTGCAAATAAAAGACATCACTAGACTGTGAATAACCTAGTTCCTTCTCTTATATCAATAAACCTTTCTTCTCTTTGCATTCCTTTGAAGTCTCTTAAGCTTCAACAAGAGTGCATATACATATCATATATATATGTAAACTAACTAAAAATAGGCTGTCTACTTTATATTTTTCTATATGTATATACAAAACAATGAACAAGAGGAAAGAAACAATAAGAATAGTTTTAACTTAGAAGAGGTTTCTCCACATCATATTCATCACTTTCTGAGGAATTTGAAGAAGAACTGATCAAATACCCTTCTTTCCCTTTAGCCCATAGCACGAAATACAGACCGATGAACATCAAAAACATACCAGCAAGGCTGCAGAAAGAAGCTAATGTCATCACTCCAAGTATCAACTTTCAATCAATAGCGTACACAGGATTTTACGCAAGCAGTGGCAGCCTATTGTCAAAGTTGAACTAGTACATTTGTTTGGATTTCAAGCTATGGAGTTTTAACCATCCTAAACCAATACTTCGTATTATTTTTCAAAAAGTGATGTGTGAGTATGTGTGAAAGGAAGTGTTGGCGTTACTGGTAAAGTTGTTGCCATGTGACCAGGAGGTCACGGATTCGAGGTGTGAAAACAACCTCTTACAGAAATGCAGGGTAAGGTTGCATACAATAGACCCATGTGGTCTAACCCTTCCCTGGACCCCGCGCATAACGAGAACTTAGTGCACCTAGCTGCCCTTTTGATGTGTGAGTATGTGTGTGTACGCGCACGCATGTATACATTTATTTGAATTTTTTAGGGAGGTTGATTGATAATGCATTTACCTTCCAAGAGTGATTGAGTCCCTTAAGGTGATTGTAGAGAGAACAACTGCTAACACAGTTCCAATGGGACTAAAATCAGAAACCAAAACTGGCCCTCTTTTCTTCATTGCCCAATTGTTAAAGCTTATGCATGCTCCACTTACTATTCCTGCCTATTACAACCAAAAATAATTAGAAATCTCAGAATCATTTATTTTCTTTACCCTACAATTTGTTTACATAACAAATTGCACATAAAAAAACAGCCCAATGCATTAAGTTCCCGCTATGCGCGGGATTCGGGGAAGGGACGGGCCCACAAGGGTCTACTGTACGCAGCCTTACCCTGCTGCATTTCTGTAAGAGGCTGTTTTCACGGCTCGAACTCATAACCTCCCCGGTCGCATGGCAGCAACTTTACCAGCTACGCCAAGGCTCCCGTCACCTAACAAATTGCACATATAACAATAAAAATTAAGGTAACTGATGAATTACCAGTAAGGAATAACCAATCAAGTCGCGGATATTTAAGGGAAATCCAATCTCCAAGCAATGTTCTTGAACCAACTCAACAATTACAGTCAATGTCATGCCTATGAAGGAAGTTATAGCAGATAAGGAGATTGGTGCTGGAAAATCTCCCAATGTTGTTGCCTGAAAAGTTGTTAATTAACCAACATATTAGGAAGAACTACACTAGCAAAATGACACTATACAAGAAAAATGTCATTTTGAATTTTGGCTAGGAAATATACAGCTCATCACTAAAAGGAACAATAGCGACGAGCTAATATACAACTAGTATACAATAGCGAGGAAAAGGTTCCTTTTAGCGAGAGATTATAGCCTTGCTAAATTTAGGGAACACTAATGCCCCATCCTCGCTCAAAATTAGCGAGGCCCTTATTAGAACGTTCTTGCTCAAAATTGGTGAGGCTCTTATTAGAACGTCCTCGCTCAAAATTAGCGAGGCCCTTATTTGAACGTCGTCGCTCATAATAAGCGAGCCCCTTAATTAGAACGTCCTCGCTCATAATTAGCGAGGCCCTTATTAGAACATCCTCGCTCATAATTGGCAAGGTCCTTCCTTATTAGAACATCCTCGCTCATAATTAGCAAGGCCCTTCCTTACTAGAACATCCTCGCTCATAATTAGCGAGGCCCTTATTAGAACTCCTCGCTCATAATTAGTGAGGCCCGTATTAGAACGTCCTCGCTCATAATTAGCAAGGCCCTTCCTTACTAGAACATCCTCGCTCATAATTAGCGAGGCCCTTATTAGAATGTCCTCGCTCATAATTAGCGAGGCCCTTATTGGAACGTCCTCGCTCATAATTAGCGAGGCCCTTATTAGAACATCCTTGCTCAAAATTAGTAGAACATCCTCGCTCATAATTAGTGAGGCCCTTATTAGAGCATCCTCGCTCATAATTAGCAAGGCCCTTCCTTACTAGAACATCCTCGCTCATAATTAGCAAGGCCCTTCCTTACTAGAACATCCTCGCTCATAATTAGCGAGGCCCTTATTAGAACGTCCTCGCTCATAATTAGCGAGGCCCTTATTGTAACGTCCTCGCTCAAAATTAGCGAGGAACTTATTAGAACGTCCACGCTCAAATTAGCGAGGCACTTATTAGAACATCCTCGCTCAAAATTAGCGAGGCTCTTGTTACTCGCTAATTAGGAGTAAGTATTAGTTAATACTGTCTATATACCTGCAAAACAACACTGCTTGATAACACCAAGATTGCTGCCACGAGATAGATTGAACCCCTGATCTTTTCTTCATTAAATATGTCAGCATCACCATCATGTGGTGGAGATGGTAAAGAAAACTGAGCCTCTTTTTCTGGTATGTGAGCATTTGAGCTACTTTGCATTAGGCTCATTAGAATTGCCCCTGTTATGCACAATAGTGTTCCTACAATTTTGACTTTGCTGTATTTGCACTTCAACTCCACCTTCTCTAATCTGCATATTAGGTCCTAAAAATTAGAATTGCAACTAAAGCAAATAATTAGAAAAAAGCAATCTTTTTCTATATTGAGAAGGGGTAAGGAGTCTAAATCAATGGACATTAACGAACCATCATTGATGGACATTGCACACGACATGATCAATTCGACTCAAGGTCTCGCACTGATAGATGTTGCTTATGGACATGCGCTCTTTGATAAGAATGGACATTGGGCCTAACTCAACCCCAAAAGCTAGCTTGTGAGGTGAGGATTGCCCAAGCCATATAAGGAGACCAAGGACCTCAACTCCCACCGATGTGGGACAACTCAACACTCTTCCCCCAACTTTCCAACATTGGGGGCTAGCTTGCTTCTATTGGTGGCGGGCGGGAGAAGGGTCAAAAGGACATGTAGTCGGGGCCGAGTCAAAAATAGAAATTGGAACCAGCTTCTTAATGGATCTTTTTACATATAAACAGTCGGATTTACTGTTTACTTTTATACACATACCCCACTACTTTTAGTTTAAGCGGTTGAGTGAGCGACTATTTTAGATTAATTCTTCTTCTATTTTTTTAGTACTAATATCTGAACAATTAATCTAATATAGTCCGACTCTTTATAGGACCTCGTGTGTAGCGAGAGCTTAGTATACCGAGATGCTCATTATTAATAGTTTATCTAATAGGATAAAGGGGAAAAAGATAGGATAAAAAAATGGAAGGTAGAATAATACCCAAAAGCCCAAGCTATGAGAAAGATGAGTCCTGGTGCAAGGTTTGGCATAGCTGTTGCCATTGCAGGTGAAGTCAAATTGATTCCCTTTATGTATAAAGATTGGAATAATGTCACCCTGCAAAAAAAAATAAAAAATAAAAAAAAATTGATGAACTAAATAAGCATGCCAAAACTTCAAATTATACTAGCTAACCCCTGGAGGCAGATCTAGAGCGTGTTCTACAGGTTCAATTGAATTCACTACTTTCGGCTCGAATTACTTATATTACATATGAAAAATATTAAAATATAAATGTGTAATAGGTCACATCCATTCTGGACCCGTTGACTCGAAACGTTGGGTTCGCCTCTGTAGTAGCTCCTTATATAATCTCCATTTTCTCACGTATGAAAGATTTTTATTTTCCTGGAATGCTCTTGTCAGAATGCTCCGGAATAAAATAAAAGAACAAATAAAATAAAAACAGAAAAGGTCTAAAAATGTCACTTAATTTTCAGAAATGGTCTATCCATGTCATCCGTTAAAAAAATGCTCATTTCATGCCACTGTCGTTAAAGAAATGGCCCATCCATGCCATTATTGACTAACAGCAGTGGCATGGATGGGCCAAATAAAAATTGAGTCGTTAGTCAATAATGGCATGGATGAGCCATTTCTTTAATGGCAGTGGCATGGAAATAGCAATTTTTTAACGGATGACATGGATAAACCATTTCTGAAAGTTGAGTGGCATTTTTATGCCTTTTCCGAAATGAAAATACACGGCTTACCCTCCAAAAGAAATTAACAATAATTGAATCAATAACTTCAAACCCATTTGCTTTGGCCATTGACTCCTGCAACATTAATAACATTCATATATTAGTTTGTTTTAGGATCATTAATTTGAAGGGAAAAAAAAGAAGATGCATATCTGATCATTAAAATAAGAGAGAAAGATAGTTGCCTTTCAAAAAAATAGGAGAATGGAGAAAGGATTAAAAATGTGGCAAATGATGATAAAATTACAAGGGATGAAGGTTTGAAACCTAATGACATAAGATAACTTGCTAATACTGAATTTCCTGCATATATAAATTGCATCCCTATTAAACCTCCTATTATTGCAAAATCTTCAAGAATTTCCTTCTTTTGAATTCCTTTCATTTTCCTTTCAATAATAGCTGAAATTAACCTTATCATCTTTTTTCAATTTCTCCTCCTTTTTCTAATACTAATTTTTCCTATCTAATATTCATGCTGCATGCATGAAGTTATAAAAACCTTTTCTTTCTTCTACAACCATTTATTTACAAATACACTGGATTTCGCTTTTTTCCCTCGATATTCACCAACCAGATACGATTATATCTCAATCTGAAACAAGATACTTGTCATATAGCACAAAATACGATTACGAGCCTCAATCCGAAACAAGATTAATTGTTATATAGCACAAGATACGACTATGTCTCAATCCCTGACAAAATTACTTGTGATGTACGTCTTGATAAAAGTGACTTATATAGATTGAATTCTTTATAGGGAACAAAGTATTGATGATCACTTTTGATCATTTTCATCAGATTTTTTTATTTTTTCCTCATAATTCACCTGCAATATATTGCCTCGGTATTACCAGATATTTTCATTTTTTTTTCCTCATAATTCACCTTCCCTTCACCTGCAATATTATTTTGGCTCATTGATCTTTTCTAGTATTTATTCAAGGTATTATTGGTTTGCAAAGAACTAGTATATGGATAATTTGTTCTTGAAAAAATATCCATTTGATTTCCTCCTAATTATCTGTTTGAGGAAGAGGAGTTTGGAAAATTATGTGGCCAAGATTCTTTTATAGGACAAATGGAATGATCAATGATCACTTATTCATTTGGTTTACTGGTTTGCCATTCACTCAAGCCAAAAGGATTAATTGAAATTAAATTTAGTTAAATGCCAGAAAAATGAAAAAAATCAAATGCCAAAAAATTAACTTTTATTTTTACTTTTTTACTTTGCATTTAATAGAAGTAGTATCAATATTCTACCTAATAGATTTTGCCCCTGTACTATCTAAAAAAACCAATTTTGTTTTTCATTTATCTTTTGATTTAATATTACCCTTTGGGCTTTTTACCTAGTTATATTATAATAGAAACCTATTTACTACTTTTATTTAGGTTCCTTATTAATTACTTTATATACCTATATTTACTAGTTTTATACAACATCTTAAAAAAAAAGGAAATGAAATATACCTTAAATAGTGGGTATCAGTTACATAAAATATCCTATGTTTAAGATACCCAAAATCAATACTTACCCAAAATCCCTTCACCGTAAGAAACCCACCCCAAAATCATCACCCCTCTTTGCAATTACCAAATCCCTTCACCGCAAGAGACCCACCCCAAAATCATCACCTTTGTTTGCAATTACCAAATCCCTTCACCGTAAGAGAACCACTCCGAAATCGTGCTCTTGCGAACGATTGAGAATATAACTTGCAATTTATATCTCAATTTTGAGGGAGATTGGTTAAGTTTAGAGTTATTTTTAGGTAAAATTTCGTATTGAAACTCGAAGAAGAAATTTTTTTTGAATTGCATTATGATTGTATGATAATTGTATCAGATTTGTTCCATAATTGTATTAAAGTTGTATTTGACTTGTATATGAGATATCAATACCTAATATAATACTAATATAATTATAATATTATATTATATCAGAATTTAAGTTTAGAGGTTTGATTGAATCTTGAAGAAGATGAAGATCAGAATTGTATCACGATTGTATCATAATTGTTGCAGAAATTGTATCACAAATGTATGATAATTGTATGCGGTGATGAGCAATTGTAAGTTTGTGACCAATTTCACAATTGGATTGTGTATGAGCCATTATCCTATTAGTAATAATTTTCTAGAGTTTAATGATTTTTGAATTGTTGAAGAAACTTTTAGCAACTAATTTTTTTGTCATTGCATGACATTCTATGCCGTGTGTATATATTTCTAACTACAAAGAAAAAGTTTCTTTTTCTTGCTATTATGGAAAATTGTTCTTCGTTATTGGATTTGTTAGATTAGGGATCACTTTCCTAACATTATAAGGATAATAGGAGTATATGTCACGACCCGGATTTCTCACCCTCGGGAGTCGTGATGGCGCCTACTAGTGAAAGCTAGGCAAGCCAACTAACTGAACTATTTAACCTGTTTTCCATTTTCATTTTATTTAATGACCTAGCATCAACAATTTATAGCAACATAATTTAACATGCGGAAGAAATAAATTTCAAGTTTAACAGTACTATCAATACCATCCCATAACAAAACCACCCAAGATTTGGTGTCACAACTTCACAGACTGTCTAAGAGTACTACAAATAAGGGTCTGAAAGAAATAACAAAATACTGTCTCTAGAACTACATAAGAGAAGCGGGAAAATAGATAGAGGGAGACGCCAAGGCCTGCGGACGCCTGTAGGACTACCTCGGGTCGCCTGGTAAGTAAGAAACTGAAACCTCACTGCGGTCCGAAATCTGCAGCACTAGGATCTGCACAAAATAGTGCAGAGTGTAGTATCAGCACAACCGACCCCATGTGCTGGTAAGTGCCTAGCCTAACCTCGGCGAAGTAGTGACGAGGCTAGGACCAGACTACCAAATAAACCTGTGCAGTTATATAATATACAGCGGAAAATAAAACAAGAATAAACAAGCAAAGATTGGAGGGGCTACATGCTGCAGGGTATATCAGTATCCACAGTAAGTCAAGAATTAAGGCATAAGGACAACTTAGAATTCACAGTGAAACAATAAGGAACTTGTATCCAATCCATAAACACTTTGTATCAACAATTATTGCGACGCGCAACCCGATCGCAACATGTGACAACACTGTTGCGGCGTGCAACCCGATCCATATCATTCATCACTGTTGCGGCGTGCAACCCGACCCAATCATATCATTGTTGCGGCGTGCAACCCGGTCCAAATATCTCATTATTGCGGCGTGCAACCCGATCAAAATATATTATTGTTGCGGCGTGCAACCCGATCCAAATATATCATTGTTGCGACGTGCAACCCGATCCAAATATATCATTGTTGCGGCGTGCAACCCGATCCACATATACAATCAACAACAACCATAACAAGAGTCCCGCCAAGGGATCAACAAGGAACTACACTATCCCGGCAAGGGAATCTACAGTATAGGTAACTACGCCCCGACAAGGGGGAAACAACTATAACCAAACTTGTTCCAACATCTAACTACCTCAGCTAACACCAGTACTCAGTCATAAGTGATCACAAGAAATAAGGGTAAGGATGTAAATGAAATCACAGTAAAATCTCGGTAAGGGAACAATAGTACAACAATCAAATCCCAGCGAGGGAATAATATCAAAACATCAACATCCCGCCCAGGGAGACAATATAATAACCCTCTTCTCTTTTCCTTTCCACATTTACTTCACCACTCACTTCACACTTGAGCCAATGCTCTATAAGGTTCAATTGCCAATCATACTTCCACAGTTCATTTTACAACTTGAGCCAACGCTCTTCACTATTCAAATACCAATATTACTTTCACAAGCCTTGCTCAACAATAGAGGTCATTACATAAGGCATGAAAAATACAAACATAGTCACATTAATCATAGTATAAGACCCACGGCCATGCTTGACACCAACGTATAGATACTCGTCACCATGCCTATACGTCGTACTCAACAAATAACACATAACAAATAGGACACAACTCCTAATCCCTCAAGCTAAGGTTAGACCAAACACTTACCTCGATGCCACGAACTCAGTTCAAGCCTCAACTATAGCTTTACCTCGTGATTCCACCACCAATTCACTCGTATCTAGTCACAAGTTACTTAATTATACCAATGAATGCTAAATAAACAATTTCTAATGCATGGAAATAAGTTTTCTAAAGCCTTTCCCAAAAAGTCAAAAATCAGCCCCGGGCCCACATGGTCAAAACCCGAGGTTCGAACAAAAACCCGACTACCTATTCACCTATGAACTCAAATATATAATTTATTTTGAAATCGGACCTCAAATCGAGGTCCAAATCCTCTTTTTTTGAAAAACCTAGGTTCTACCCAAAACACCCAATTTCCCCCATGAAAATCATTGATTTTAAGTTGAAATCATGTTAAAAGGTGTTAATGATTGAAGGAAACTAGTAAAAATTGACTTACAATCGATTTGGAAGAAGAGTTGTTCTTGGAAATCGCCCTAGGGAGTTTTTGTTTTGAAAAGATATGAAAGAGTGTTACTTTTCGGCTAAGTATAAAAAGTTGCAGGCTGCAGTTATGGGAATTGCGAAGGGAGGTTGGGAAATGCGAACTGAGAATTGCGAAGGGAGGTTGGGAAATGCGAACTGGCAATTGCGAAGAGAGGTTGGCAAATGCGAAGCCTGCAGGCCTGCAATTCCTTAAGTCCAAAATTTTACCCCGTGGCCTATCCAAATCTCACCCGAGCTCTCGGGGCTCCAAACCAAACATGCACACCACCCTAAAAACATCATACGGACTCGCTCGTGCATTCAAATCACTACAATAACATCAACAACTATGAATTTAGCATCAAAATCATGAAACTTTCTCAAGACTTCAAATTTCCAATTTTCTCAATAACTATCCGATTCACGTCATTTCAAGTCCGTTTCTTACCAAATTTTACCGACAACACATATAAATCATATTGAACCTGTATCGGGCTCCGGAACTATAATACGGACCCGATACCACAGGTTTCACATAACATTTCACTTTTAAAAACCTTTATATTTTTCAGAAAACAATTTCTTTCAAAAATTCATTTCTCGGGCTTGGGACCTCGAAATTCGATTCAGGGCATACGCCTAAGTCCCATATTTTCCTACGGACCCTCCGGGACCGTCAAATCACGGGTCCGGGTCTGTTTACCCAAAATGTTGACCGAAGTGCACTTAATTCATTTTAAAGCCAAATTTTTTATCATTTTTCACAGATTTCCACATATAGACTTCCGGCTACACGCCCGGACTGTGCAAGCAAATCAAGGTGATGTTGAAAAAGGTTTTTAAGGCCTCGAAACATAGAATTTAATTTAAAAACAAGTGATGACCTTTTAGGTCATCACATCCTCCACCTCTGAAACAACCGCTCGTCCTCGAACGGACATAAGAAGGAAGTACCTGAGTCGGGGAAAAGATGGGGATAACGGCTCCGCATATCTGACTCGGACTCCCAGGTTGATGCCTCGGCAGGCTGACCTTTCCACTTAACACGAACAGAAGAAAAACTCTTTGATCTCAACTGACGAACCTACCGATCTAGAATAGCTACCGACTCCTCCTCATAGGACAAATCCTTGTCCAACTGGATAGTGCTGAAATCTAACACGCGAGATGGATCGCCGTGATACTTCCGAAGCATGGACACGTGAAACACTGGATGCATGGCTGATAAGCTCGGCGGCAATGCAAGTCTATAAGCCACCTCTCCCACTCGATCAAGAATCTCAAACGGGCCAATGAACCTAGGGCTAAGCTTGCCCTTCTTCCCGAATCTCATCACGCCCTTCACAGGCGACACTCGAATCAATACCTGCTCACCGAACATGAAAGCCAAATCTCGAACCTTGCGGTCGGCATAGCTCTTTTGCCTGGACTGAGCTGTATGAAGTCTGTCTTGAATGATCTTGACCTTGTCCAAGGCATCCTGTACTAGATCCGTACCCAACAACCGAGCCTCTCCCGGCTCAAACCATCCAACCGGCGACCGACACCGC